CAAAATGTGATTGAATATCGTGCTGGCTTTCTTGGATATTCTATTATCTCCTCGAATATCTTTTATGTTCTTGTTATTTCCCATGCGCATCAGATATTGCCTATGAAATTTTATATAGATACAAACAATGTGCCTTGGCTTCGTTAGAAAATTAATATAAATATCATTATCTTAAAGACCGCAACAGAGGAAGAGATAATAGAATAAACCCATTGGGGTGCGTGACGACTGATGAGCAGGTTAGAGTAGTTGAATGGAATGCCTGATGCCATAATGCAAGATTAGATTATGTCTGATCCCTTATTTGCAATTTTTAAGTTCCTTAATTTTATGAAATAAATGAAAAGAGTGGTGGCACTTTGGCAGTTTGCGTTTAGAAAAATCGCATGTATTATACATCATTCAAACAAACAAAACAGATGAACTATTCTCAATCCAAGACCATATAATATATGAGCAGAGATTGAAACTCAATGCTGTTGCGGGTGTGGAGAAAACTTGGAACAATTAATATCGGATTTGAGGAGTGACGGTATTTTTGAAAGAGATAATCCTACATGGTGTCATATCAGTGTTCACTAGAAAGGCTAGGAATCAAAGGAATAATGTTTGCATAATAAGGAAACATGTGGTACATGTTTTCAGCATGATAAACTTTTAATTTATCTTGTTTTTATGAACTAAAATAATATGAATTATCAAGTTAAATGAGTGAAATCTAGGGTTTATTGACATAAAATCATGAACTTTATTAATTATGGATTAAATATTATATATTTGCTATTTTGAAGGGATTTGAAGATAAATGGAAGCAGAAATCAAGATTGGATAGATGGAGATCAAACCTAGAAGATTTGAAAATCTATCTAAAGAAAATCAAGATTATCAAGTTGTTGAAGAGGAGACTTAAGCCCCCATTTCGAAGCTTAAGCCTCCTAATTATCCCAAAAGAGCAAGTACCTACTGCCTCTGGGCGCTTAAGCCCCCAACTCAGGGCTTAAGCGCGGGCCAAGAAGAAAGTTTTGTTTCGCAGAGCGCGCTCCAGCGCGCAACGCGAAATTTTCATGCAAATTCTAGGAGGCTTAAGCGCCCCAGAAAATCCAACTTTGGCCCACTTAAAGTATCCACCTAGGGCACAAAATCTTTACCCTTAAAAACACATTTTGGGTCAGAATTAAGAAGTTTTACACATTCAAGAAGAGTTCTTGGTACTCGGAGGCAGAGGGAACGCGAAAGAGTCATCGGTTCATGTTCGTGAGCGGAGGAGACAGATCAAAATCAAGTTTGCACTGGAGATATTGAAGATTCACCAATCATCTATGGAGTTTGGAGAAACTTTTCTATTTTCTTTCGTTCTTGATCTTGCTATGTCCGGCTAAATTCTTAAGTAGTTAGGGTTAGATGAAATTCAAGATCTTTATTATGCTTTGAACAATTCTTTATGTTAATTTTCCTTTTTATCATGAATGAAGTTATCTGTTTTTAATGCTTTATATAAGCTTGAATCTTATATATTGATCTTAGGTAAATGCATGACAATAGGAATGTTGGTGTGTAATCCGTATCTGATAATTTCATCGTAAGCTTTATGATTCTAGGGATAGACATAGAGTTTGCGTAATCTTTATGGTTCTTGAACTTAATGCTTACCTTCTTGGGGAATAATCGGGGAATTAGGGTTCTTGCAAGATTGTAAAGATTTAGGGTAACAAGGAATTGAGCCCTAATTACATTAGAAAGAATCGATTAGATTGATATTAAGGACGATTAACATAAAGAAGGAATTCAGACGCAATAGAGAGATTGAAGGAAATCGAAACCCTAGCTACGTTCTTTTACATTAGTTAATTCAAATTTTTAAATTCTTGCTTTTAATTTCTTGCGAGTAATTAGTTTGAATATTTAAATTTCAATTCAAATCCTGTTACAAATCCAATTTTGATCGTCCAACTTAAGTTGCAATAGTGAATTAGTGCTTGAGTATAATCCTCGTGGAAACGATCTCTTATTCAAACACTTTATTACTTGTACGATCGGTGCACTTGCCGTGAGTCCCAACAAGAGCCCACATGTTTGATTGAGTAGTGGTGGATATATATATATTAATAATATGGTCATATATAAATGCAATAGATAAGAGCAGGATTATTTGGATTCATATAAGTTCGAGCAAAATAGCTTGTATTAATTTTAGGATTTTCCCTAATTTGAAGATAACTCTATTGAATATTCCAAAAATCTGACTCCTCTTTGTTATAATATTTCGAGTGATTCTAAACATTTCGCACTTGGACCTATAACCTTCTAGAAGAGAAACTACTCTCAATACCGAATACGTGTGGTGTTCTAATATCATTTAACAGCATAACAAATATATAGGAATGAGCTTGTTAGATGGCCAGTTTCCTTTTCTGGCTCATTCAGCAATAGTTTCAAGAATCACACACACTCCATTTTAGGGTGCTTCACCTGTTATTTGGTTTTACAGTCGTTTATCTTTTTCTTTCATTTTCTTAATAATGATAAATGTGTTATGGACCAGTCAAATCGTCCCAATTTTTTCTCCTCGCTACATGGTATGTACTAAGCATGTCATTTTACCATTCTCTCTCAACCTTCACCCATTACATATAACCATCCATTAAGCATTGCATCACATCACTAATCACCTACTAAGCTACCCACTATGTACACAACCTCCTAGTGCACTTCATCTCTATAGTTAATGAGAGGGGAATGATAAGTTATTTCAGTATTCACAAGGCTTGCCATCATGGTTACAGCTTCACACTTAGAGCCTGTTTGGTGTGACGTATAAGGCCTGATAATATAAGCTTATACTATACGTTATGACATTTTCAGTTGTTTGGTGTGATCATCGTATAGTATAAGCTTATACAACAGAATCCCTTAATACATCAAAATGTATAACTTAATCCGGCCTAAGGGGGAGGGATAAGGCTTGATAAGATGTTGGTGTATTAATATCGTTGACCAGTGTAATTCTCAAAAATTAATATATTATTTTATATATATTAATTTTTAAAATATTGAATATTTTTATAAAGATATATTAATTTTTAAAATATTTAATATTTTTTATTTTTATAAAAATTAATTTATGTTTTGGACACACTGATCAATAAATTTTTATAAAAAATAATATCATATGACATTTTTTGAAGAATTATATAAATTCTTTATTAAAGGATATTTGTATTAAAAATATTTATTTTTATCTTATATAGTATTATACAGTGCATTACCAAATACTAGATGATATTATCTTATACAATATATTATTTTAAACAATACTGTGCCAAACGCTGGATAGTATTAAAATTCAATCAGGCCTTATACTATCAGGTCTTATACTATTAGGTCTTATCTTATACTATACACCAAACATGCCCTTATGGTTAGAGTATATCCAATTTACTAAGTAGGTAACTCAGACACCCCTTATTCATACCATCGTACTATTGGTTAGTGGTACTCTACTTCCCATTACCAATCATCTCTGCCTTGACTCCATAGACATATAATTACTGGCTATTTCGCTAGACGTTGATGTTCACCTCCGAATAAAATGCGATGAGAGAGACATCTTTGGAGTAAAATTTAACAATTACAAAGAGAAAACTAACAAGTGCATAACAATTACAAAAAGAGGAAATTTCCTTCGTACGACCTTTGTAGCACGACAGAAGCAAAAGCATCACAATGAATAAAATACAGTCTATGGTACCTAAATTAATATAAGCTGGGACACTACTATTGCTTCATATTAGTACGAAAAAATTCAGCAACAACAAACAAACAAGTGAGCTTAATTAAGTTAGAATGACATGAGGAAACTTCCCAAGAAATTATCTCTACGGGAAGAGATGCTTACTCAACCAAAGCCTCATAGGCTAAGGCATCCTGATCATATAGTTAGATACTATTGAATCCAAATCCACGTTCCAAAACCCACAACCCAAAATTTTAATATTTTAGAATGAAAAAGAACATCATATCGAACTGAATTAAGTACGAGACAAAAATGCTATGAAACAATGACTATTAGTAATAAGATTGTCACCAGCTCAGAAAAATTCCATGTCATTGTCAATATTAAATCAAATGATAAAATCATGGGTACTCTTTCTTGCAGCCACCTCAAACAGATCAAGTAATAACAATAAGATTTTGATACCCTTCATGTTATAATATTTTGAGCTCAGCCTCTCACTACCACTCCCCAAAAAGTTAAAAATAGAAAAATAAAAAAATCCACTCACAGTCACTCTGAGCAAGAGCTGGCTCAGAAGAGAAACAAGAAGTGATGGGGTTTATTAACTCTATTAACCCAGAAGAGGGTGATGTAATTGAAGCAGGAACAGTGCGGGGTGAATGAAGTTTTTGGTTGAGTTGTGCCAAAAGACGAGGGGCTGGGAGAACTGATAGGTCAAACCCAAACGCCCAATATTGGTAAAATATACTCAAAAGTCACTGAAACCACACCTTTGCCCTAAAATCCCACCTTCCATCAGCCACTTTTTGATAAAAATGTGACATAACACACTATATGTTGCTTAAAAGGCACCCTTGTTCCAACTCAATCCTTGTTCTTTTCCCTGGTACAGTAGCTGAAGCATCAACATTTGATTCTGAAGCCAATACAACATCCTTGTCCTTTTGGGGACATTATCTCTTATTGAGTACCTTATTGATCCCCATTTGAAACATAGTAAAGCAACCAGCCAATTGGCCTGGCATCCAAGGAGAAATCAGTTTCAATAAATACCATCATAAATTATTTCACATGGCATGGATACCATGAAAACATGAACACTCCCCTGGCAATAATAAGTTTAGTGCAGCATGGACAATTGGACATGCCACTTGTTTTAAATGGCAACGCAAAAAATTGTGAAAAAAAATGCAGGCCTTGGAAATTCCTTAGTTTTCTAGCATGGAGCATCAGATCTCTTCACAAACCTCCAGGCTTTCAAACATTACCAGTAATCTCCACAGGAACAAGAACCGTTGGAGAAATGATGAAACCTGCTGATATCTCTGACAATGATATTTCTCCCAGTAACCTTAGAAATATATTTTAATGCAGAATGACAATCAGAGCAAACTCTTAAATTTTTCTTGACAATGATCGGTTTCCCAGTTGGACTGGTTAGTAATGAATAAGCCACAGCAATCCTTTCACTGTGATTGAGAAGAAGCTTCTCCTTCAAAGTGTCATCCATGTCAATCAGAACTAATTCAGTTTGAGGAACATACCCAATACTCTTTATCTGATCAAGAAGACTATCAAGCTTTTCATAAATTTCTTTCTTTTGAGGATGAGACCAGTCTTCAACCCCAAACACATGAGTTTTATTTCCAATATCAACCCAACTGTAACCTGGCAACTTCTTCGTGTTGCCATCTCTTATCATCTTCCTCAAAATTCTTACATCTTCCCATTGTCTTTCTTTTGCATAAATATTTGAAAGCAAAACATGAGCCCCACTACTTTCAGGTTCAAGCTTCATCAATTTGTCTGCTACAAGTTTGGCTCTTTCCTTATCACCATGGGTTTTACAAGCCGCAAGAAAAGAACACCAGCCAAAAGCATTTGGTTCAAAAGGCATGCTATTTATAAAATCTTCTGCTTCTTTAAGCTTTCCAGCTCTACCAAGCAAATCAATAGCACAACTGTAATGTTCTTCTCTAGGCACTACCCCATAAATCTTGTCCATGGAATAAAAGTAGTTTAACCCATCCTCAACCATTCCTGCGTGACTACATCCTTTTAAAAGGTTAACAAATGTTACTGCGTTTGGTTTCAGTCCTCTGTGGATCATCCCATTAAAAGTTTCAACGGCATTTCTTCCTAAACCATGCTGAGCAAAAACTCCCACCAATGTATTCCACGCTATATCGTTTGGAGTTTCAATCTCATCAAACAATTGGATTGAGTGGTCAAACAACCCACACTTTCCATACATATCAACTAGTGCGGAAGAAACAAAAGGGTCTCTGTCAAAGTTGAATTTGACAACTTGACCATGGAGCTGGCTCCCATGTTCTAGTTTTGCTTGGTTAGCACAAGCTTTGATCAAGCTAGAGAAAGTAAACTCATTAGGTTCAATTCCCCACCTCCGCAAGTCAACAAAAGTGCTTAAAGCCTTCTCAATCTGATCCATCTCAACATAACCATCAATAATAGTAGTAAAAGACACTATATTTCTAAAACCAGAATTGATTTGGAAGACATTTGAAGCACTTACCATATCTCCAAACTTTGAATACATATCTGTAAGGGCATTTCCTATGAAAGTCTCGTATTCGAATCCAAACTTCACAATAGTTGAATGAAGGGACTTCCCAAAACCAGTAGCCTTAAGTGCACTGCAAGCAATTAAAGTACTACAAAGTACATGCTGATCAATAAAAACATCATCAATGACCATTTCCTTATAAGCTATTAAAGCTTTCTCAAAATTTCCATTTTTCACAAAGCCATCAATCATTGAAGTCCACAACACCTCATCCTTACAAGGCATTTCCTCAAAAACTTTAGAAGTACTAGGCACCTCCCCGCATTTTGAATACAAATCAGTCAAATTACTACCCACAAACAGTTCACAGCCGAACCCACATTTGACAACGAGACAATGCACCTGTGTACCAAACTGAAATGACCCAAGAGAGGCACAAGCTTGAAGCACACTTGAAAGGGCAAATTGTGAGGTAACTTCTCCTTCAACTCTCATTTGACAAAAGGTATACAAAGCCTCTCCAAACCTCAAATTACGAGAAAACCCAGTTATCATGGCTGTCCAAGAAACCATGTTTCTTTGTGGCATTCTGTCAAACAGTTTGATAGTGTAATCAAGCTCTCCACATTTGGAGTAGAAATTGAGGAAGTGATTCGTCAGAAAGGTGCATGGTAAACACCCTCCTCGGATCAGCTGAGCATGCAACTGTTTTCCTTTGATTAACTCTTTGGTTTGTGCATAGGTTTGGATAAGGTGAACCACTGCTTTGGAGTCACTCAGTTTGTGACCAAATGCAAAAACACTCTGAAATTGAAGTGCCAAAACAAAGGGTGAATTATGTAAATACAAAATAAATAAAATTATGGATTGCAAATAATAGCTATAAACAATTGCATTTATTTTTCATGATTTTATGCCCTGCCATTTGAAATATAATCAAGAGGGCCTATAATTTGGGGTGTAAAGTTCATGTTTTTATAATAAAATTTAACAGTGTCAATTACCCTTGAACACATTTAGCTGGTTTGATGATGCAATTGCTCTCATATTTTGTGGGATGTCACATGACTTGAGAGTTCCTATGAGAGTTGCACCTCTCTCTATCCCTGGATTGAAGCATTCTCCGTTTTGGGCAATTCAGTAATGTTGTATTGTGACGGAGTGCATCAGTAAGCTAAAACAACGTTTTTGATACCTTCTAGTGCAGACAAAGGAAGTATTATGGTAGCATGGTCTTACACTAGTGCTCACAAAGCAAGTAATAATAGTATATATGATTTGATTATGTGAATTTTTATTTACATATTGAAAATGTTTATTTTGTATTCAAAACTTTATTATTTATTTTTATTACTCAATTTTATTTTTCCTTTAACATTTTTTGTTACACATCAAAACCATTTTACCTCTTCGTGTTTCTTTCCTATCTAAATTATTTCATTTTAGTTTATTTCCATAGAGGTCTAGCTTTTCAAATATATATATATAGCCACTTTAGATAAGGTTATTTATAGTTACTCTTTTTTAACTAAATACGACCGGTCGTACGTTAAAAATGTATTTTCTCTCTCCGCCACGTCAGTCGACAGTGTCTGAGGAGAGAGAAAAAAAGAGCAGCTTTATTGTTATAACTAAGTACGACCGGTCGCACTTAGTTAAAAAAAAATAGCTGTAGATAACTTTATCTAAAGTGGCTGTAGAAATACTTTTTCTATATATATATATATATATCACTTAATACCTATATCAAATTTTTTAGTTTGACATTTAATTCGAACTATTAATATCAGTCAATATAATAATTATAATTTATTAAATTATATTTATTAATTAACTACTAATTCTAAATAAATTAACATTATCAAATTGACCGAAATCAATGATTCAAATAGGAATATAGGATGTCAAACCAAATCCTAATGTTAATTTATATGAATTTAACTGTTATAATTTATTAATTTAGATTTTTATGCAAAGAAACGACATCGTTGCATCCCGGTTCCTCTTTGATGGAAGAAATCTTAGCCTCTTTTGTTCAATCAATCAACGAACTGTGTTCTCTCCGCTGATCCCTGCGTCTCGTTACCAGCGTCTTCGATTTTCCTCTTCTCAGGTTGCTCTAAATGTGCGCTGCTATGATTGTAGTGTTTTTTGGATATGCATTTTGTTACTCTTCCTTTTTCCTCTGTTTGTTTCTTCTTCAAATGCTTTCTTTGTTATCTTTGTTTTTTTTTTTAAAATGACAAGTGAAGTTGCCACACATACCCAAGTTGATTCACCTTTTTAAATATGCTTTTTTTCTTAACCCCAATTGCTTAAATTTTTTCATTTTTAATATTGAATAGTCATTTTGATAGTTCAAATTTGTTCCGGGGTGTAAAGATCTCAAAATGGAAAATTTTCATGCACTTCAACACTGTTACTCTGTTCCCTGTATATTACTCAATTCTTGTTATATGAATATATTGATTGAATAGAGCCATATGATGGGAAGAAGTCCTTGCATCTATATTGGCAGTGTTTTATATATTTTTTTAATTTCAGTTTATGTTCTTGATTTTTTTTTCCTTGATAATTTGAGTTTATTTTTTACCTTCATGTTATGGTGTGAAGTCCAAATATACTTAATTCATGTATATGTACCCACAGCAATGCTTAGGTGCAGGCTCATCAAGAGTTTCTTGTGATTTTCAGGATAGGTAGGTATTCTTATCTGCTGTTTGTGCTCAGCTGATCAAAGAACTTTTTCTTAGCTTCTTGGAGCTGTAAATCTGGAATTAGCATTTCAACTATGGCGCTTTATGGAACTTCGTTATCCTTCAATGTGAGCTGCCTATTTCCTTTTGTCTAACCCAAAAATTCACTTGTGTTTTCTTATTTAATATTTTGTGGAATTGAAATGTCTTTGGCATCGGTTTTTGAAAATTATTTGTGTTTTGATTAACGATCTATTGATTAAAGAATTCTAGGATTGAAATTAGATTTAAATTAACTACTTGAAATGGAAATTGGGAAAACTTTAGGCATTTTCAATGACTCTGTCCGCTTGGATTGATTTCAATCTCTGTTGGAAACTGGTATATATGCTTAGAATTTCCGTTACATGGTTTCAAACAATATGACCTTTTATGAGTTTTGCTGAAGAAAATTGACTTTATGAATTGCTGAGGAATGAGGATAAAGTTATATTTCCCCTTTTAATTATTCTGTAGTTTAAAATATATATGTACATATGTGGCAAAAAAATTAAAATATTGCTTTTTTAATAAAAATTACGAAAACATAGTTGTTTTGAACCAATTTATTTATCTATTGCACTCAGTCACGCCCAAAATGAGCATGACTACTCACGCCTCATTTAGGCGTGACCCACAAGGCACTCACGCCATTACACCAAACAAATTTTCTTGTGTTTTGTTTTTAAACTTTCTGACATAAGAAACAAAATTCCTGCCATAAGCATTGACAATCTCATCAACCACTCTCTTGCAATTCTCATCATAACCCAAGTCAGCTGGTATAGCCATTGGATCCTTGGCATCTGCAGTCGTAGAGTTTTTAATCATTTCAAGAGTGTCCCTCGCTTCCTTGTCTTCCTGTCCCTTCACATACGTGAAAATCATAGTAGCACCCTCTAATGCAAACAAGTTGCATACGGCTCGTCCAATACCAGAGTCACCACCAATTACTACTGCTATCTTTCCCTGAAAATTAACACACAAATACAACTGATTAAATTGAGAAAAAAAAACATATATATAAAGAAAGTCAATTAATGTAGGGAAACTTTGATATATATACTTGAAGTTGTTTGATGGCTTGTATTCAGGGCAGGTGAATTGGGGTGTTGGATCCATGGCATGTTCTTTCCCAGGCTGCGTGCATTGCTTCTGAGGGGGGAAATTCTGTTCACCTCAAAAACGAGCTTTTGGGAACAGAGAAGGGAATCTTCTGAGTTGCTGTAAATGTGGTTTTAGTTAGTCCTGAGTAGCAGTGGATTTTGAAAAGAAAGCAAGATATGAAGAAAGCAAGATGATTTTGAAAACAAAACACAAAAAAATTTGTTCTGTGTAATGGGTCACGCCTGGAAAAGGCGTGAGTACCTTGTGGATCACGCTTAAGTGAGGCGTGAGTGGTCACTCCCATTTTGGGCGTGACTGAGTGCAATAGATCCGTAAATTGGTTCAAAACAACTATATTTTCGTAATTTTTTATTAAAAAAGCAATATTTTAAATTTTTTGCCGTACATATATATATAATTTGTTCCCTACCTTCTTTATATTGATTGATTTTATATATTCTATGAAGGGACTTTCTTCTACTATCAAGGAGTTTAAATTTTTGCCTGGTTCATTCATCGGTAGCTTTCAGAAGTTACGTCATGTTCATCTGCCTTCATTTACCCCAAACAGTTTAGTTTTTGACAAAAATTTTGGAAGAGGAGACCAAGTGTGTCTTTTGCATGGTCAATGTCTCAATTTGCAAATGGGGAGACTCAGTAAGTATCTTTGCTTGAAACCTGATAATTCATATTTATAATATTATAATCAGTCTTTAGCTGATTAGCATAAAAATTGTTGGCCAGCATTTTTTTTCTCATCTTGATTTTGCTCGAGTCCAATTCTTTTTGCATCTATATCCCCAAGTTTTCAGTACTAATTGATTTGCTAAATTTAGTTTAGATTCTCAAAAAATGCCTTTGGTTTTTATCAGGGAGACGACAGGGAGTAAAAAGTGAAGACTCAGAGGGCATATTGAGTAGTGAGAGCATTGCATTGGATGAACAGACTTTGGAGGAGGAGTTACAGAATGCTATTGCTGAAGAGAACTATACTAAAGCAGCAGAAATAAGGGATACTCTCAAAAACCTTCAGAAAGATAGCAAGACAACAGTATTTGGGGCAAACAGCCGGTTTTATGATTCATTCAGGAATGGAGATCTTGCATCCATGCAAGCCCTGTGGGCAAAAAGGGATGAGGTATGCTGTGTACACCCTGGTTTGAAAGGAATATCTGGGTATGATGATGTTATTGAGAGCTGGAATTTTGTATGGGCTAACTATGAATTTCCACTAGAAATTAAACTAGAAGACATTAAGGTTCATGCTAGAGGGGATATGGGGTATGTTACTTGCATGGAATTTGTAAAGACGAAAGGAGGCAGATGGGGAGGACAGTTTGTAACGAATGTGTTCGAGAGGATTGATGGTCAGTGGTTTATTTGTATCCATCATGCTTCCCCAGTAGACTTATGAATACATCAATCTTTTCAGTATAGACAGACAGTTTGCTCGCTCTTCTTCGTCGATCCTTCTCACTTTCTATGCCTGTATGGCTGTATCCAAGTTTGTTTTGTGTTGTGCTGAAGCTTCATCCATATCTAAAGATTCTCTGAAGTTACATGACAACTTGACTGTACAAATGATCTGTAGTAGCTGTGATATTTGGATTACTGAATTTATGATGAAGAACCTCCTTCCTCAGGCAAAGCAATGATAATGCTTCGGATTTATCTAGTCCAAACTTTGGTGGTTAAACCCTAGAATGTTGAGATATAAACTCGGAAGTAAAAATAGTTTACCCATGTACCCAGAAATAAAAAAGTTTACTCTGGTATCCGGGCCTTAATGATAACTTGTTGCAAAATAACTAGATGTCCTGCCACCTCACAACAATCTCCTTATCTAGTTTATTTTTTCTGAGAGTTACAATGTTAGCACATGCACCCATCACTTGTACCTCTGAACACATGGAAGTATTTTAAGTATTACTGGACTTGTCATGAACCAACTAAAGCTCTTCTTTTTTTGCACATTAGTTTGGCGTGCAATGCAACTGAAGCTCAAAACGGTTTTATTTTTATTTACTTATTTTTTGTGTTGGGAGGGGGGTGTTAGGAATCTTCTCTATTAGTTGAGTTCTTTTTGGCAATGGTGTTATCGATATGTGCTAATCATATTCAGAAGTTAGAAAAAACCATCTCTTATAACTTGGAAATAAATGTTTTTTCTTACGAAACAACTAAACAGTCCCTTTTCCAATTAATCCCCAGCAAAATTCTTTGGATTATTATATAAGCATATTCAAATCGAGATATAAAATCATTTTTAATAAAAAAATAAAAATAAAACAATGTACAAACTGAATCTATTAAAATGCTTGTCAATTTTCGAAAGCAAACATATTTAATACCAGATATTGTTATCATGGCAAAACTGAGTCAATGCATGCTATATACTTGGTTTGTCACCATATCAATAATCTCCAGTGTGCTGGCGAGAGAATTTCTGATTTTATAGTTTTAGTTCTCTTAAATTGTTCTAGTAGTCCAGACTCTGCAGAGGACAACCCTGCTAGTTTTATTTATTGACGTTTTGTTTTGTATAAAGATGGTGTTGGTGCAGTTGTTTCTTTTGTACAATGAGTATCCTGTTGTTTGCTACAACAGGTACTCTACTCGAATGTATTATTACTATACCAGATTCCTGGCATGAAGGGGAAATAGAAGAAAATAGAGAAACAAAAATGTTACTCTTTGACCTTATTTTCTACACTTTCTTTTTATCCTTACCTTTTACTGTAAAAAGGGAGAGAGAAAAACTCATGTTCTCCTGTTTTTTCTCTATCCCTTTTTCCAATAGAAGGTAAGGAAGTGTAAAAATTCAAGTGCAAGCATATCATTTATGAGAGAGATGTTCTGCATTACGTTGACTTGCTATTCCTCAGCAACTTGAAGACCTTAACATCTTATAACTATGAACATCTTAAAACCCTCTTCTGAATTTAAACTCTGCCAGCAGGAGAGAGTGGTGGAATTGGAGTATATTTTACTGGTGCTTTCCCCTGAAGTCTGCTGTTCTTGGAACTGGATTCCTTAAGGTTCTTTTCATGCATGCTACCCATTTCCAAAGAACCTGGTAGTTTTTGGCAGCTTAAAATAGCAACAGAAATGAAGAATGCCTGTAAATGACTGATTGCTGAATTGAATTCAACTGAGTAAAATTCATCATCCTTCAGTGGCAACAAAGTGAAATGGGGTGTGTCTTGCTCACCTCCTTCCTGAAAGTAATGATAAGGATGATGTAAATAGGATATCCACAATATTTATAATTGCATGCATGCATTCCCTCAGATAGGATGTAAAAGCTATACCTGAACAAAAAGTTGAAAACCATCATGGTATGATTTAAAACTTTTTGGAATATTTGAACCTTGCTTCTGGTTGGAGAGCACAAGCAGTTTGCAACCAATGTCCCAACCCCCACAATCACATGATCCCCCAGTTTTCCATCGATAGATCAATGGTGAAGGTTCACCTTTGTTTGGTGAACCATGTACACCACCTGGAAGTATAACGGTACTGCTACCGGAGATATCGTTTTCTCCAGAAATGCACAAGCATCCTTCGTCTGACAAGCACTCCAAGCATCCTTTCTTCAGGAAATTCGTATCACTATACAGTCCTTCACTGCTTAAGCTTTCACATGGGGTCTCAATAACAACAGCTCCAAGCTCTTTGCTCTGGATGAACTTTGGTGGTCCTTGATCAGGCTGGCCAATTTCAACACCCAATAGGACATATTCTTTAACCATAAGATGTCTCTTGGAGTTCTGATTGATTGGTTCAGTGATTTTAGAGCAAGAAAACTTCATCTGAGCAACAATATTGTAGGCATAGCCACAGCTTTTTTCTTTACTTCCATGACTTATCCATCCACCACTCTTTTTCTTAATTTCATTAACCAGGTAAAATGTAAAACAGCAGCCTAAATCATCCTTCTCCTGTGATGATGCCAAGCTATTCCTGGTAGCTACAAAAATCTTTCTTTCATTGTTGAGCACAAATTTAAACAAAGGCACTCCATTTTTTATTGTAAGCTGCAAGAGGCCTTGAATTGATGACCCCATGCTCTTTTCTGTATTCAGTGATTCATTGACATTGACACTGCTTGTCCTGAAGCTGATTGAATTCATGCTTCCCTTTCGCTTATGACTGCTTTCAGCTGAATGGTTTGTGTCTGATGCCTTATGCTTCAATATAGGGTCTAATAACCTCCGCAATGGGCTGGATTTGGTTCTGTTATGACTATTTGCTTTTTCTTTGATTGGATTATCCCAACGACCAGAAGATTGAGGTGTCACTGGACCAGACTTTGCACTAACATACATAGAGCTAACTTGTGGAAGGGTGGAACCCTCTTTGAAACTGAAACTTCTTCCAATCCGACTTAAGCTGAAGCTAAACCTACGGTTGTGGGATGGAGTCATTTCCTTCTGAGCTGTCAGCTCAGCGGTTTCTTGGTCCAGTGATTCCTTCAAATTACTGAAAACACACTGATTTTTCAGCTTAGTGTCTACAACATACTTTCCAAAGCAAGCATCTATAGAATGCAGAGTAGACATCTTATTTTTTATGGAAGCAGGTGTCTCAGACACAATAGAAGAACGATCTATACCCAGATCAGCATCTATGCTGTGTCGCATTGTTTCTGAAGAAGAAGCAAGCTCAACCATGGATCGCGGCAGTGGACATGAAAGTGGGATTTCAGAACATCCATCTTCAGGGTAAACCTCATCAGGAAGGGAAACGTATGACAAACTACTTTGGCTTGATTCTGAAAATTTTTCATCAGATGATGTTCTTAATTCAGAAAGCCGAAAATCCTCTGAAGAACTTGATTTGGGAACTTCTTGGGGATAAAGCAGCACAATATTACTTGGCTTGCTATGGTGATGTTTGCCACCAATGTCAAAATCTGACTCCTGCAACTGATCCACCTTTTTCCTAGTTTCACTGTTACTGGAACTCATTTTCTTAGAACTGAATGTGACCCCTTTGTTATTTGATTTTACTGATGGCTGTCCCATATAAGACCTGGACTCATCATTTCTCTCTTTTTTCTTGTGATTATACTCTTGCAAACCCTCCATGTTCTTCTTAACTCCACCATCCCTACCATTTGCATGTTCATCAAGAACAAATGAGACCCCGTGGTGCCTTACTTGTGAAGTTCTTTTACTATAGTCATTCCTCCTCTTCTTTTCAAGCGATATATCTGAATGAGTTTTGCCAAAGGACTCAAATTCCCTTGGTGTCATTCTCCGTTCATCTCCAATGCTCTTAGTTCCACTTTTAGAAGATTCAAATTGTTTGACATTCTGAAAAGGAAGTTTGGTACTTTCAGGAAGGCATTCCCTATAAGATGGCCTGATATCTGAAGAAAGCAAACCTTTTTTATCATCAAGACTGGTACATGATTTGGTGGCTGTTCTTGATGGTGGTTTACTGCTATTGAATGATGTGAAATTGCTCGCTAGTACTGGGATATGCTTGTGCTTGTGCTTCCATTTCTCGAGTCGAGACCAATCTAGAACACCAACATTGAAAGCCTTCTCTTGAGAGTTTTCTACTCTATCAGTACGCAGGAGATAACCTGGCAAATTAGACATGTGCTTGACAAGCTCATCACTTTCAGTTGCATTTCTCTTCACATTCTGAACACTCCCTTCTGCATTCTGCTTTGCTTTTTGTTTGAGATCATTGTGTTGTGGACCAACACCACTCTTTGACTTCAACTTATCTGCATCCTTTAAACTTCGATTTGATTGGGGCAATGCAGAACATTCTTTAGCTGTCTTTGAGCTGCTATGCCGTTTTGAGTTGATCTTTCTTAGCTCTAAACTGAATCCCATGTCTTCATCAGGTTTCAACAACCCATTACGTTGCTGTATATTGATTGGCATGGCGCATTATACACTCAAAACTTCAGTCTTCACTCTGATGTTTCACCCATAAGCTAATGCTGCAGAGAAGTTTCTCCCTTGCTCTGGCAATTATCTGCCGGAAATTATCACAATTGCATCAGTTCCAAAAAAGGGAAGAAGTAAGTTGAAAAGAGTGTTTAAAAAATTTGGTTAAAATGCTTCAACTCAACAGATAAGAGTATGCATTTTCTAAATAGCTTAATAGAAACAGATAAAAGGAATCAGGGTTAAGACTCTGAAAAACATGGATACAAGGTTTGGGAAGAGAAGGGTTCAAGCCATGGCACAATGATCGTTATCTTTGAAGGGAAAAAAAAATTACCACATTAAAGGGGAAACAGTTTTTTATGGCACCAAACACAAATTGTAACATTCATCCTGAAAACATTGAAAACATGATTTTGACTCTGTCCAGAAACTATTATGGCAGAAAGCCACGTAAAAGGGAAATAATTGAATGCATTGCACAAAAAGAAATGCACATAAACACGCCCAAAACCATGTACTATCTAATTCAATGAACAAAGTGACTATGGATAACTACACTCGGAAGTCCAAAACAGAGACATGACTGGACTTAATTCCACTAACCAACAACAAAGATTATGAATTTCTAAAATTGTACGCTAATTACACATAATCACATATCGTGGCATAACCATTGTTCAGAACCCGAAACAGAAAACAGACTCAAAACAAAGAACCATAGACATCATTACACATAAAATAAAACTCTGCAAAACTATGAGCTGGTTGATACCCAACACAAGTCAAAAATAAAAAAAAGAACCCAAATTGTTAATTAAAAAAAGAAAACAGAAAATTTATACAAAGCTAGAGCTCTGTTTGGCTGCTGAGAAAGCACTGCAACAAGAACAAAAAAAGCAAGATACCCTCTTCATGGAAAATCAAGAGCAATAAAACCCACATTCCCAATCATAAAATAAAATAAAAAAACACCAATCAAATCGTTTCCTTTCAACCCAAGACTCGATTTTTCCTTCATTTCCTACACACTGACATGCTCAAATTAAAGAAAAGAAAAGAAAAAAGACCCAGAAAAAGACTGTTGAAAAATGAAAAATGTAGCATCTAAATTCAACAACACAATCTAAAATTTTTCTCTGGAATCAAGAACATCATAACTTACCATCAAAATCAAAAAGAAAATAAAAATTAAAAGAAAAGTGGGAATGGCTACAATAATATGGAGAAAGATCCTAAACGTAATGGTGAAAAAAAGAAAAGGAAGGACGTAGTTTAGAAGCGAAGTAAAGTATTACTGCAATGAGGCCACTATTTGTGATAATCCTCCATCATCATCATCATCATCATCATTTTCATTCTTTCTTCTTCGTTCATCTTCGCATATTTTCTTTTCTTTTTTTCTTTCTTTGTGTTTTGTATTATTGTGCCGCGTTTTTCTTTCTCATAAAGAACAAAAGAGAAAAAGGAGAAAAAATCATCGATTACGTTACTAAAGGGGAAGAGAAAGAACGACTGAAACAAACAGCACCTTAATTAAGTGGGAGCGAGCGAGCGAGTGTGAGAGAGTGAGAGTGTGAGAGTGAGTGTGTGTGGGTGTGAGAGTGAGCGTTTCGCTTTCAATGAAAACGGTGAAAGGCGCGTGGGTCCCGCTAATGGAGACTTGTTTCGCTGTCGCGAATCCCAACGTATGGGAACGGGGCCCCTCTTACGTGTAGCCATTTCTAAATGCTGAGGGCATTTACATTTTTTTATTTTTTTTTATATTTTAATCAAGGATTAATATCTTTTATATTCTGTGAGATAAAATTATCTTTTACATATATACATATATGGTTCATTTTTTCTACCGTTAATGTAGATAAATTATTTACATTGAGCTCAAAACGACGTCATTTTGAGACAAAAATTAAAGTTTTTTTGTAATTATAATTTATTTTAGAGTTATAATAGTCTTTTTCATTTTAATTTTTTAACTCAAAATGATGTCGTTTTGGGAGTGAGTGTAGATAGCTTATCTACATTAAGTGTAAAAACGTTAAAGCCATATATATATGGGTTTGATATTTGTCATCTTAAATGACATAAGTTATGTCATTTTAGGAGAGAGATAGACACAAGAAATGTAAATGGAAGAGAAAGTGAGTGGTTTTTTAATTTTTTTAATTTAAATTTTAAATAAAAAATATTATTTTGTGTCAATCTCTCTCTTAAAATGACATAACTTTATCTTTTAAAATGACAAACATTTTTATATATATATGTATATATATATATATATATATATATATATATATATATATATATATATATATATATTGGAGATTCCAATCGGTTCATCACTTCTAGATTAGTCCCATTCGGGACGAATACCGATATTAAGATTTTAAATCCCTGCAAAAAACGATATTCGGAAGGATCAAACACATTCTTTCCTCCAATTGCTCAGTTTCCTGGAACCAACTGAGCTACATCATTTGATAATATCCATATTTTTTTTTCTCTTCATGTATATATCCATACAAGTTCCGTATATTTTTATGTGTGTATAAGAGATAATTTTAAACATATTTTCTTTAAATTAACTATTTGTATTTTTGTTAAAAAATAAGAAAGAAAACAAACAAAGAAAACGTATTTCGCGGAACGGTGATCCGGATTCCGGATATAACGTTGCGCGTAGAACAGTAAAAGTCAGCATCACATGCCACTAAACAAAAATAAATACCCCATTTTCATTTTCTTGTTTATTCATTTAACATTTTCTTTCCATCTCAGTTTTTATTGATGAGGTAAAAAATTTCTGTCGTTATTGCATCAGTTCAATCAATTAAATTCCTAATTAAATCTCAATAGTGTTCCGGTTCTGAGTAAATAATGTATTCCTAGCATTAGACTGAGATAACGTCCCAGGATGGACGATTAATTATCATGCACCAAATCTGTTACATTACAAGGTTCTCATTAAAGCCACGTTAATGAGAGAATTAAAATGAAAAGCAAAACTAATTCTCTTCTCTAAATTACTGATAGAGTTAAAATGAAGGTACTAAATAACATAGTTTTAATCATGTTAAGTAAAAATATGAATGAAAGTATTGTATAAAAATTATAGTTAAATAGAATGAAATATAAACAAATAATTGACAATAACAATAAAATTAATTCTTTTCTAGAGACCAACGGATTTTGAGTTTGAGTATCTCTGTCATACTTCGGAATTGGAACCAGCGAGTAAATAGATTAGGTCGGCTTACAGGAGCCTACAGTCTAGTTTATGTTAGGCCAGATTTGACTTATTATAAATAGTAAAATAGAACAGGCTTAGCCTATTAAAATAATTTATTTAGAAAACAGGTCATAGACTTTTTTTTGTACATATCGGGCCTATAAGCCAACAGTCTGGCCTATATCATATTATTTATTTAAAATATAATAAATAAAATTATTATTTTAATAATTTTTGAATAATAAAATAATATTATTTTAGTTATTCTTTTAATTGTTAAATGTTTAATAGGCTTAAACAGGCCTAGGCCAATTTTTTTTTTTTTTTAAATATAAGTCAGGCTAGACTTGTAATTTAGGGCACATGCTAATAGGCCAGGCAATACCAAATATTTTTTCTACACAGGCCAGACCTATTTAAGTTAAAGCCTAGCCTAACTTATTTACACCCATACTTGGAACACACAGGAATCGAATCCGCTGGGATCTTAGGGGCATTTGGTATAGGAGAAAAAATTTTTTAACCAGGTAAATACAATTATTGGGGAAATGATGCGAAAGTAAATTTACTGGTAAAGTTGAAAAAAAAATTATTTGATAGGACAAAATATTACCGAAAAAATTAATTTAAGTTTTCAAAGTTTTCAATTCAAAGTAAATTTGTTCTTTCTTTAGTAAATAGGAATTACCACCTACAATATGATCATCTATCACAGTGTCTTGGTTGCAATTTTTCACATAAATTTTGTTGCCTAGGCAACCAATTTTCCTAGCTATTTTTTTTTTTAATCTTCTACCAAACATTGTCATCTTCAAATCACTATCTGATTTTCCTAACTATTTAGGACAAAGTCTCCTACCAAATAGCTCCTTAACGAGTTGTTACTAGATCAATAAGTCTTGAATAAAATTAATTTTTTTTTATGTATAAATAGAGTGTGAAAGAATATTAGCATGACATGACGATTGGTCATACGGTTACATGAACAGAAATGAAAAGTAACATGTTCAAAAATTGAAAAGCATAATACAGAAGTTGATGGTGGGAACTGCTACTCATCCTAATAGTGGTAGTCCTAGATAAGCACTAGTCTAGGTGTAGGTTCGTAAGGCGAAGAATTTATTGACATTTTTTCTTTTGACGGTTTTGAAGGTAGAATCTTGGAACAAGCTCTTCTTTTTGTTCTCACAAGCCTTCTTGTGCCTTTCTTCATTTTCTTATTTATATTTCCTTAATTTTTGTTCACAAAAAGATTATCATATATTCTAATATTTGTAAATGCATATAATTTATAATGGACTAATGTTATATATATACGAATTTGAAGTTAGTTTAATCATTTATAAAAAAATTAAGAAAATTTTAAAATGATTCAGATAAAAACCATGGACAATAATCAAATATACAAACATTACTTCAAAGTAATATCATTTATTTTTTTGATTAACTTACTTTTTTTCCCCTTTCTTTATATTTTATCGTGGAAACAGTAAAATTTTCTTTTTAATTTTTATATTAATATATGTTTTAGAGGTATATAGAGTGTATTGTAAAATCAACCTAAAAATGTAATTTTTTTGTATAAAAGTATGGTGATTCAGTAAACAAATGTACCCAGCTATTTTTTTTTTCATAATAAAATATTTTATCAATAATTTACTTTTGTAATAGATGAATTTAAATAAAATATTAATTGTATAGGTAATGTTATTCTTCATATAAATTCAATATGCTCAAATCACTGTCTATCCAGTTTATTTATTTTCATCACATTCTTTTTTTCCTTGTATTTTCTCCTTCGGCTTAAAATAAAGGTGTGATATTTAGTTTACCAAAAAAAAAGTGTGATATTTGTACCCAAAAGGCATAATATTAAGTTATAATCAGCCGAAAAGGAAAAGAGTGGTATGCTTTAATTTGATAAAGGAGGAAGAAGCGATATGTGATTATTTATGAATGAAAAATTGGCATGAAATGGGAAAAAGCTTTCCACCAAATAAATAAATAAATAAAATGGGAAAAAGCTGTTTCTATCTGCATTACTTTCAAGTTTTGACGGGCAACAATTGTTCTATTACCTTAGATGGGGTCATGATAATGATGAGGAAACACTTTCACGTAATCAATTAACTCCAACACACTCCTAAAGAAGGCCGGGAGTAGCAGCTTGAAAACTTGACTTCAATCGCTTCACTCCTTTCAATCTAAGTCTCTAAGTTGCATAAAGAGGTAGAGGAGAAGACTATATATATTCCTAAAGTCCACTCACGAACTTTACTTTTATGATTTTTTTATAGATACTTGTGTTGAGATATATAGTCCCACATTGATTAGATGGACAACTAATATGGCCTTTATAAGGCCTTGGGCACTCTCACCCCTTGAGCTAGCTTTTGGGGTGGTGTATCCCAAGGTTCTTTACATGGTATCAGCCTCACCGTCCCCCGCTTTAAAAAGTGGAATTAAAATAAAAAAAAGCACAAAAAGGTGAACCAAAAATTGGGCCTGTGCAATTCCACGCTTCTAGCCCAAAGGGCTCTTGCGTGAGGGGGCGTGTTGAGATATATAGTCCCACATTGATTAGATGGGCAACTAATATGGCCTTTATAAGGCCTTGGGCACTCTCACCCCTTGAGCTAGCTTTTGGGGTGGTGTATCCCAAGGTTCTTTACAACTTGTCTATAAGATCTCTTCGGTTATACTAGATTTAAAAACGTTGGGATGGAAGATAAGAAGCATTTTTGGATTTCTTAATTTAAGATTTTGCAAATCACTTAAAGTGGTGAAATTTTGAGCATTTGGGGTTTTAAATTTGTAGGGCTTTTGCTCCCTTTAGAATTTGTCCTCATAGACGGCGTTAAATAATATGAGATGGTGAATGTGCAATCCGGTTAAGAGGATTAATTTTTGATTTATGAATCGTGTTAGAGGTTCTTGTATGAACATCATCAATTCACAAAGTATGTTGGTCGTAGGTGGGTGATGATGGGTGGTAAATGCGTAGAAATAGGTCAAATGTTCTTTGCAAGTCTTTAGAGGTTAAGGAATATTTCAAGTTAATTGACCATTTTACCTTCATTTTTAGATATTTTTATCAATTTGCCCTGATCCCCAACATGTTGATCGTGTAACGTAGTAAGTGGATCACTTAAGTACAAGGCTCCC